TTATCCTTCGTTTGCATATTCTAAATATAACTTGTGGTTCTGCACCATGGGGATGAGTTGGCATGCCTTTCCTTGCTTCCTCTGAGCGCACAATAGGAGGGTTTTATTCTCAATTAGCCGATGCCAAGTGAACTTACAAAGTTCCCTTAATCAATAGCAGTGTTTCAAGAATCTTCCCAAGATGCCAGCAATAGCAGTCTCTGCCCGTACATTGTTCGCAGAACGTCAGAAGTGCCAAATCAGAGCATTCTTCTCAAAATTGAAAATGTAGTGTAGAAGTGACCTCCCCCCCACACAAGAAATAACTTTATAGCAAAACCATGAAACTAGGTATCCAACTACATTTTTTTTGAGCTAAAAAATGGGTGTGAATTCTTGTAAAATTCCTTTCCCACCACAGTTTGATGGAAGGAATTTTTGCCTAGCAGTGAGACAAGAGTGGTCAGATCCTAACAGCCAGCTAACTCAAGTAGCTTTGGGGGCCGTTCAGGGTGGTGGACTGAAGAGGGTGTTCTGCCTCTGGAAAGACAGTGGCTAGAGGAATCAGAGTGCCCTGAAGCATTTATCAGTTCTTTGCCTTCAGACAAAAGACCTCTGCTTCTCCCACCCCCATCCTAGTCCAGGCTCATACTTCCCAATCTGGAATCCAAAATTTGGTGACTAACCCAGAAATAAGTATAGCAGTCTGTTTCCTGAGCACTGGCTTCCTCAAAGGGTGCTAAGCGCATAGATTCCTTCAGATCATCTGGATTTTTTTTTGGCATCCTGGAATGGACAGGGCATGAAAGGTAGAATTAAGGGAATAGAAATTGTTTTTAAAACAGCCACGGTCATTTTTTAGAGTTTCTTTCAGAAGCAATACTAAATGAACCCCCCCCACACACACACCTTTGTTTTGCTTTATTTTGCTGTTTTTTTTTTTTTTCAAGACAGGGTTCTCTGAACTAGCTCTTATAGACCAGGCTGGCCTCGAACTCACAGAGATCTGCCTGTTTCTGCCTCCCAAGTGCTGGGATTAAAGGCATGCGCCACCACCACCCAGCTTATTTTGCTGTTTTGATTTGTGTTGGGTCTGTTTAGTTTATGCGCATGGCCACTTTGCTGAAGCCCCCATCGCTGGCCACTTGCTCCTTCGTCACTGCGGCATTGTCTCCCACCCCTAAGGCACATGCAGCTGGAGCAGAGACAGATAGATAGGCAGGGCATGCTCAGATGTCCCCTAACTCTAAAGAACATAATGACTGTGACACTCAAACCAATGGGGTGTAGGCTACAATCCCCCAGAGCAAAGGTGACTGAATGGGTTCCCCTACCAGGGAGACATGGCCCGACAGGACCAATCACCTCTCTTCCCTCCAACCCTGCCAAACTTGCAGTGTTAGGCTGTGTTTCCTCTGCTCTGCTAACTCCCCATGCATGCAAGCTGTGCTGGGCTGTCTGGCCAGTAAAACCAGAAGCTCCCCATGAGGTCTGGTGGTGTTGCAAGGGCTGCCCTTCCAGCCTCTGCTCTGCTTTCATTCAACCCTAAGGTTCACTCACCTTTTGCCCTTTGAGCTTCACTTCCTGCCGATTCCTTTTCCTCCCAACATCAGACTTCCAGTTGTAATACTTTTCCAGTAAGGTATTCAGAGAACCCCCATTAGGCCTAACCTTTACACCCACCAACAGTTTGTGTTTGGCAAGTGACTCCGGAGCAATGGCTCTCAGCCTTCCTGATGCTGTGACCCTTTAATACTGTTCCTCGTGGTGCTACTTCATAGCTGTAATTTTGCTGCTGCTTTGAATTGTAATGTAAGTTTTGATATGCAGAACATCTGATATGCGACCCCTGTAAAAGGGTCATTTGACTCCCCAAGGGGTTGAGACCCACAGTTGAGAACCTTTGTTCCAGCGACACCAATGGCTTTATCTTATTCCTTTCATAGGTGGACTGTGATGTTGGCTAACTATACAGTACCTTAGTTTGTTCATCTATACAATGAAATTAATAATATATCTGATCTTACGGGAACACTAAAAAGGCTTTGGGATTGGACAATAAAATAAAAGGTATCAGGGCGTACCAGGAACATAAAAACACCAGAGACCTACACTGTTAAAATCAGTAGCACTTGCGAATTAGTGGCAGGTATGAGATAATTTTGGGAAGGCCTTCTCCTGATGTTTGCAGTGGTCTCTATGGAGTGACTGGCACCAGCAGCTTGGGGAAAGGAACAGGTGGTGCCCTATGGTATTCGGGGTGATTTATTGGCCAGCCATTGCTGAAGGGAATTGGTGCCTGCTTGGTGCTGGTGCTGCGACCAAGCCAGGGCAGAGTGCTGACTGGGCAGCTGCTCTGGTTACCACCGAGCCCAAGGCTTTGCTTTCATTATTCCACTTTTTGCTGTATTCTCTCTTCCCTTCCCCTGGGAACAAAGTTACATGCTAAAATACAACAAAACCAACAAAGAAAGAAAGAAACAAAAACCATGTTCCTTCTGTTCCAATGAAACCGCTCCATCTGTACTGCGGCTGTGTTTTCAACTGTTCCCGAGGTGAGTGTACCCACGTGTTCCAAACCACCCGTTTTCTTTAGGAACGTCCCAAAACCCTGCAGCAGCTATTCAGTTGTTGTATAACCTTAGGAGAAATGCCTGCCTGTGAGAAATGTTGAAATAGTACATTTCTGCCTCCACTTTCTAGCCATACTGATTCAGTACTTTAAGAGAAAGAACACATGCCCTTACTACAGTGCCTGGACATTTGCAACCATCTCAATTGTATCGTCGATTCTTACTTGTCTCGACTTTGCCATTCGCCTCTCTGGGGAATACCTGAGAGGATGAAGTTGTTTAGATGTGGAGAAAAGAGAGAGTAAGATGTTAGGGGAAATAAATGCAGGGCTTGTTTTTGCCGTTGGCTAGTCCAGGTGCAACGGTTACCATTTCTGAGCAAATAATAGCTTGCTTTGAGAAATTTATGTCTCAAAGATAAGTAAAAAGAATTACCGTCGGTCAGCCATGCCATATTGCTTTACCCTTTTGCTGACTTAAACTTTGTGTTGGAATTTTAAAATCATGGGAACATAGTTGATGTTGATATGGAGACTGCGAAGTCAAAATATCTAATCTGAAGAAAAAAGGAGGGGTAGGCAAGGATCCTTGTACTGCACATGGTGACTGCATTTCTCTCCCTCATTCCCGACATGCCAAGTGCATATTCCGCACCACGAAACTGGCAGAGGGATGAGAAAGAAAAACCTGGGTCCTAACTGGGACAAGCTAATTGGTTGCAGGCTCTAGGCACCACTGCCCCAATGGCTTGCCTCCTTTCGTTCCCCCTGTAGTAATATTGTAGGACAAGTGATTGTCACTCAGGGACCATTTGACATATCTGCCTTGAATGGGCTGGAGGGAAAGGATTCGTTTCTGTGATGATTGTATCAAATATGGAAATAAAGCCACAATCCAGGATGGATGTTTTTTCTATAACTAGCAGGGGACATCTGCCCCCTGGTGCTAGATCATCAGGTATTAGGGTTTAACTAGACCCAAAGTTCTCTGCTGTCAAATTGATGACCTGGATTGAAGACATTTTAGAAGTTACATTTCCGGGTTGCTGAAGAAGTATTGATAATTAGAAGTTGTCATCCTCCAGGCTAGGAGTGGACTGAGGAGGACTCATGTGTATCATTAGCCTCAATAAAATCATATAGGGACATGCTCATAGTGCTCGTCCCCGCAGGCTCGCTTCAATCTCAGCTCATGTGGATTTCTCTTCCTCAAACAAAGTCACTGTTTTAGAACTTAACAAAATAATCATTTGTTCTAAAAAAAAAAAACCCTACGTACTTATTTCTGCTATCATCAGACCCCTGAGTCTACAGGGATGTTAGAGCCCAAATATCCTAAGGCCAAGGCCGTAGGGTGAGTGTCGCGTGTGACAGTCTCATAAGTTTATGTTATTGTTGATGAATATGATGAAGTTGAAGGGACCAGTACCCTACAGCAGCAGATCAGTGTGCTGGTGTTCAGCCCATGAAGTACAGGCAGACATGACTTAATATCTACAGTTGCATAGACAGATACACAATAGCCCCTACCCCTCTTCCTCCATTGCCTTCAGTCTGCTGAATTACATGTCTCTGTAGGCAAAGTCAAATAGACTTTTAAAATTGCAGTATTTCTTTTGTACATAAGTTATACCTATTGCTCGGCTGAAATACACAGAAGTAAAAAATTAGTTCACCATCAAAATATGGTTAGGCCAGTATTTTGGCTCAGACATTTTTTTTTTCTGCAGTGTGTGTGTGTGTGTGTGTGTGTGTGTGTGTGCGTGCGCGTGCGCATACGCATTACGTGTGTGCATCACTGAAATCCATACTTGGTTTTATATAATAGTATTTTCCAGGCTTAAATTGTTTGGGCCAATGGGGCTCTTTCTGTTCATTATTCATCCCTGCTTAAGAGGAAAATAGCATGGTTCGGACACATTCATTAAAGCTTTCAAGTATATAACCACAATCCTTTACCTACTTTTAAGCCAGAGCTAGACTGTAAGCCCCTTAAACGAGAGGCCACATGTGTGGCCATTCTATATATATTCCTAGTGCAACCTTGATGTTTGAAAAAGCTCCAAAATCTTGAATTGGATGAGTGATTAAAGAAGAAAATGGTTTTAAGGGCAGGATCTAAACCTTGTCTTCTAGTGAGGGGTAAATTAGCCATCTAAGAAGAAATGCATTCCTTTCAATGTGTCTACAGAAATTACAATAATTGGAGCAAATAGTGAATCTTTCAAATCACCTTCTCTTCCACCCCAAAAGTAACTCGTTGGAGTCCCTTTAATTTTTATGTGTGACACTTGGGAAATGTGCAGCTTCTTCACCTTTAATCCTTCTGGTTGCTATGAACCAATTATCTAATAAGCAAAAGGGGGAGCTGTCTGTCTGTCTTTGCTCCGTGGGAGGGAAGATGGCCGCAGACCCCTCCTAGTAACCCCTCCTCTCCTTCCTCCCCTAGGCTGCTGTCTTCACCATGATTCCCTGCAGAGCGGCACTGACTTTTGCGCGATGTCTGATCCGGAGAAAAATCGTCACACTGGACAGTCTAGAAGATTCCAAACTCTGCCGCTGCTTAACCACCATGGACCTCATCGCCCTGGGGGTTGGAAGCACTCTTGGCGCTGGGGTTTATGTCTTGGCTGGGGAAGTCGCCAAAGCAGATTCTGGTCCCAGTATTGTGGTATCCTTCCTCATCGCCGCCCTGGCCTCGGTGATGGCAGGACTTTGCTACGCTGAATTTGGGGCCCGAGTCCCCAAAACTGGATCTGCTTATCTATACACATACATAACGGTTGGAGAACTGTGGGCCTTCATCACTGGCTGGAATCTCATTCTGTCATATGTCATAGGTAAATTCCAAAATCAAATATCGGTTCTGTAGGGTAAAATAGCCGTCCAGCGACTCTCAGCACTAGGGGTAAGCTAGCACATCTCAGCTTGTTCCCCCGGCTCATTTTTGTCATCTCTAAAATACATCCTCACTGCCGAAGTCTTCCCTTTTGAATTCATGATTCTTAATGGGTTTGAAAATTGTTTGAAGTTTTAATTTTTTTCTTTTCATGAGTTTGTGTGGTGTGTCTGTGTTCACATGTTTGCTGGTGCATATGATTCTGTCTTCGAGGGCACAGGGAGGTCCGAGAACATATCAGCATCTTCCTCAATTGCTCTTCCTTTTGTTCTCTGAAACAGGATCTCTCAGTTGAGCCCAATGGTTACGTTCCAGCTCAACTTGGCCAGCTTGCTCTCGGGCCCCAACCTTGCCTTCCAAGGCTAAATTTAGAGGCTGTGCTCCCCAGTGCTACCTACTTAAGGGTCTGACTTGACATCTTGCTTGTGCAGCAAGTGATTTAACTGCTCAGCCATCTCCCTAGCTTCTGGAAAGTTATTTATTACAAATAAAGTTGCCTGATATGAGCATTTACACACCTGTATGAGGTCTACCTGGGATAACAAGACCCTGCCTCAAAAAAAAGTGTTCTTGTATTCTTGACATCTTTATGTATATGTAATAGTAATTTGGTTTTCTAATGTGATTAAAGTTTCAGTCGGTGTGAACTAAGCCAAGTTTATCAAGAATCAACTAAGCAGATGAGTTTCGTTAATTTCCTACCTGTAACCTTTTATTCTCTGAACATTCTGCTTTGGGGAAGGTACATCCAGTGTTGCAAGAGCGTGGAGTGGCACCTTCGATGAACTTCTAAACAAGCAAATTGGTCAGTTTTTCAAGACGTATTTCAAAATGAATTATACTGGCCTGGCGGAGTACCCAGACTTTTTTGCTGTGTGCCTTATACTACTTCTGGCAGGTAAGAAAACCAGTCCTATGCTGTTCCCGGTAATGCACCACACCAAGGGGCCCCCGGAAAGTAGGCTATGCAGATTTGAAGCCTGGATTCTTGGAATGAGGTCAGCGTAGGATCAGTGTGGGTTCGCTGCGGGTTTCATCTCCCCCATGTTTCACAACAGGATTCAATGTGTGTGAAAGGAGGCCCCTGGCTTTGCAGGAGAAGGCACCTGGACTGCAGTAAGTCATAGGATGGAGGTGCCCGTCTTTGTTTTGAGAGCATCGGTCTTTAAATACTAATGAGAGACATTCAAGAAGAGGAAGGGTATTTCCATAAGGGAAAAAAAAATGTAGAGTTTCATGGTATTGTTTTACCCTGTTAAATGCAACTCAGGTCATTAGCAAACATATTAGTTCTAGAAAAAAGTGTTGTTTTCCTGTCTTGTGCCTACTGCAGACACTTGTTTGAAAAGGAAGGATCCAGCTACTGGGGATTATCTAATGCTGATATCCCATAGACAGACAGACTTGGTAAAGGACCTTCCACCTTCCACCAGCGTGGTACGACAGCGCTTTAAACAGGCTCAAGAACTACAGTAGGGGCATCCAGGCTTTTCGTCTTTCTCTGCTGCTCACTGCGTGCAGGATTTGAAAGGCGTGCTCCGTCTCTTCCTTCCTCAGTGTATTCATTCATGAACTGTGAATACCGCCGACTGCCTCGCGCAGCTCCTGGCATAGAGCGCAGTGTGCACACAGATGGCAGCCAGTTTTATTGTGTACGAATAGTTAATCCCTGCTGTCCCTTACATGGACTCTTTGAGCATTTTCTGTTATGACTGTCCTTATCTACAGACCCTCTTAACGTCGATCTGTTTGTTCCAGCTTCTTAGGTGATTTACCCTGAGTAATTGGTCTCTCGCTTTCCTGTTCTGCCTCATCCTCTGTTCTCTCCCTGGGCTCAACGAGTGTGACAGAAATAATTTTCTATTAGGAAATGTTTTACCTGGACAGTTTCACACTTCAGAAAATAGCCTTATGTTAAAAAAAAATCTGCCTTATTAGTTAAGAATATTATAAAGATGGGGAAACAATCATGAACAAATTCCATAGATCCATAATATTGTGCCCTTTGCTTCAAGCATTAAGAGAAATACCTTCTGGGTCACTGACATGGCTAAGTGGGTAAAGGTGACTGCCGTTAAGCACAAAGACCCAAGTTCAGTCCCTGGAGCGGCAGTAGGGGGAGAAACCAACTGCCCAAAGTTGTTATTTTATTTCTACCCTTGAGCTCCCGCCACCTCCTTTCCCTACCCATATGAATACAAAAATCTTTTCATTTTAAAGGATTTTTTAAAAAGAAATACATCCATTATTTTTCATTATGTGATATTAAATGAACTTCACTGATTCAGTTTAGTTTCAAAGCAGCCTAGTTAATATGATCATGTTTTATTTAGAAATGGCTTCAATAAACTTAAAATATTCAGCTTTACTCTCTTAATAATGAGAAGTCTGTAGCTGTGGCTGTTCAGAACTGTTCAATTCTATAGCGACGAAACCTCTGCTTGAGCCTGAGTCTGTGTCCTCTGCTCATTTCCCTTCAGAATCTATCTTTTTAAATGTAGTCTAAATTTACATTAAAACTTTGTTGCTAGACTATTTGAAAATGAAAATCTCCCATTATAAATAGTGGCTCAAACAAATTGCAATGCCACACGTCCACTGAAACTTGTTTTATGAATGCTACCAGGGAGTCGTGGATAGCGTTCACATGAGGTATTTATTGGGATCGAATCTGTTGGTGGCAGATAGAAACTCAAGTAGAGAGTGTGTTGGCATGTTTGGAACCTCATATAAAATGTGGCTGTGGCTCTGTTCTTCTTGAAGGTGGGCACATCTTACCCAGTTGCCAATCGCAGAGTCCATAGTTGTGCCAACCCCACAGCGTTCCTTCATGCCATTGATGCAGGGTTTTTTTTTATAGGCAGAGACAGGCTTTATTTGCGAGGTTCATGCAGGAAATGCTATACTGGTGTGTGTGTGTGTGTGTGTGTGTGTGTGTGTGTGTGTGTGCATGCGCACGCTCATACATACACATGTCATTCAGCTAGCCGTGGGAATTTCCCACTTGCATGGCCTTTTCCCCGAGCACTGGAAAGCCCTAGCTATGAGGCACTACATTGTGCTGAAACTTCAAAACATTTTCATGACCGTTGTGTCTTTCTAGCCTGACTCACCAACTCCCGTTCTTCACTTTGTGTTGAGTATGTTGTTTTGTCAAGAGTGGGAACGGTACATGTAGAAGTGAAATGCCGCTGCTCTCATCTCTGCCTGCACGGTTCTGCTTCTGTGGCAGTGGATGCTGTGGATGCAGGGGAGAGGCTAGCAGAGCTGTGGCATTGTTTTTTCATGGCAGCCATTGCCCCAGTAGTAAAAGCTAGACTAAGAGCCACACTTCATATAGTATATCAGGTGGGTTAAAGATGAAGATACGATAGTATAATAGTCATTTAAAGCTGAAGGGAAACATGAATACTTGAGGGTTGAAGTTTGGGGGGAATCTTATTAAAAGTAACTATTAAGATAGGTGCACGTGGGTTATTCTAGCAACTTTTTACATTTATAAACAATAAGTTAAGGTTAAAAATAAGTTATAGGGTTGGGACTGAAGTTCATCGTGAGCATTTGCCTAACACACACAAGGGCTCGAGCTCTAAATTTACCACTGAAATAAACCAAATGAAGTCATTTTTAAAATGATGGAGATGAAAAATATTACCATGAATGGCTGGCAGAGAGCTAATAACGTTAATATCTATAAGTACCTCTTATAAATCATTATGAATAAAATACTCTGACTTAAAATTCATGTAATGTAAATGGTGCCAAATCTTGTTCTCTATAAAAATTCATGTTCTGGGGGTGGGAAGATGACTCCATGGGTAAAGTGGCTGCCTCACAATCATGAAAATGCGAGTCTGGATCCAGAACTCCTCTAAAAGCTGGCAATGGCAATGTGCATCTGTAACCCCAGCACTGGGGGTGGGAGGAGCTAGGGCAGGAGGATCCCTAAACCCCTAGAGCCTACTGGACAGATAACCTAGTCAAAATGAGGAGCCCCAAGTGTAGTGGGAGACTGTCTCAAAAATGAAGTTCAGCGCAGTCAAGAAAGGCACCCATATCAGCTTCGGGCTTCCATGTGCATTCTCATGCACACATGCATACACCCACACAGAATGCGTATATACTACACACACGCGTACTTTATACATACTTACATGCCTACACACACATACATGCATACACATGCAGACACACAATGCATGCCCTCCCATACACTCTTAATTTGTAGACTATTGTAAGGAAAAATGTTAGAAAATGCACAGGGATATTTATATAAGATGGTAATGATGTCAGTGCTGTTTATAAAATAAAACCAAGAGTGACCTAATTGTCTATAAATAAGGGATTAAAGCATCTCCACATAGTATGTCATGCAGCTGTTAAAACTGATGGTAAATTTGTTGATACAGAAATATATGTGTGTGCATGCATATGTAGAATTCTACGGGAATACCATAGTAGATCGCTATTCTTTATACTGTTCTTTTTTTTTTCAAACTATTCGAATAGGATATTTATGTTCTTAGTATAAAGTAATTCTGTCATATAAGAATGGATTTAACAGAGAACTGTTTTGGCATGGCGCCTAGGAGAATTATTTTCTGGTGATGTGATCAGAAAGTGCATGGCAGACTTTTATATTAGCCCTGGAATAGCTGTTAAGGACAGCCTTTCAAATGAGGGGTTCTGCCTGTGCCTGCCATGGGAACAATAACCAGAGTTACTAGACTTACACAGACAGCATGGAGCTCTCGAGTGTGAGCACAGTCTGCTTCCAGAAATCACAATCAGTGGCGTCTTCAAAGGCGCTGCTCCACAGAAAAGTAATTGTGTGCACTAACAATGGAACTAAAGAAATGGAAGGTAAATGTATGACTGCTAATACAGGAATATCCAATGCATGTATTAGCACCAGGGTTCCATTGCCTTGTCTATGGCTGAAGAGCCCATGTTAACGCCTTCTTTTTTTCCATAGGTCTGTTATCCTTTGGAGTAAAAGAGTCTGCTTGGGTGAATAAATTCTTCACAGCTATTAACATCCTGGTCCTTCTCTTTGTCATGGTGGCTGGGTTTGTGAAAGGAAACGTGGCCAACTGGAAGATCAGTGAAGACTTCCTCAAAAACATATCAGCGGGTGCCAGGTAAAATGTTTAGTCCCTCTCCACTTCTCCCCCCCCCCCCATCCTCTCCTCATTATGTGTTAAGAGTGCTGTTTTCTGAGAGCAGCACTTCTCCTTCTGGGGCACGGTTCTAGGGTGTGACTCCTCTGCCCAGGCTCCCCAAACTAAGGTGGGGATGAGCTTCCAGCTGCGCCACTGTGTGAAGCTCTGCAGATGCTGGCTCCCAGTGCAGCCTCTAGGGTGGAGTCTAGTCCCTGCAAGAGCTCCCCTTCTACCCCCAACAATTCACCAGGGGGCAAAGAGAATTTTTTTTACCTTTATTGTAGAGCATGGCTCACATATGGGATCTCAGATGTCAAAATCCTGCTTCCTGTGTTCCTCCGTCTAGCAACATCTATAGAGATCAGCACAGCAGTGCTCACAGGAACCCGAGGCGCAGGAATGGCACATGTTTAAGTCTAGCCTGAGCTGTATTTCAGGTTCCAGGCCAATGTGGGTTCAAAGTAAGACCCTGTCTCTCTCTCACACACACACACACAGACACACACACACACTTTGGTCTGGGCCTGCTGTATTTGCTGTTGAATAGCCTGTAGTTGGATGTCAGTGACATAGAGGTTATTTTGAGGGAATCTATCATGTTCTCCAGACTAAGATGACAGAATAAAATTTTGGATTTTATGAACATTAGCTCCAAAGAGACAACAAGCAACATCAGCCTTCCAAGAACGTGGTTGGAGAGAAATCATCAGAAGGTACAGTGTCCATGAAATGGCTGACTGTGTCTGTTCTTTCCTTCAGAGAACCGACTTCTGAAAATGGCACGAGCCTCTATGGGGCTGGTGGCTTTATGCCCTATGGATTCACAGGAACTTTGGCTGGTGCTGCAACTTGCTTTTATGCCTTTGTGGGATTTGACTGCATTGCAACCACTGGTACGGGCAGTGTCTCCTCGAGAATTAGAAGGAAAGGGTACCACAGGCGTAGCTACATGTGCAGCAGAGGGTCAAGGAGACAGGATGAGATGTGGGGTGGGAAGGGTACCAACTCCAGATCCACCTGCAACCCATGTTACATCTGCCACAAAAGCCACTTGGTGTAAGTCTCAGAGCACTGAGGGTGTCAAGGGCAGCACCTCCCCTGAGGATATTGTGATGACCACCAAAGACAACACATCTGGCTGATCGGATGAGAAATCTATCTGTAACCTTTTGACTTAGAGCTCTGTCCCCTCCAGATGGTCATTGTCTTAAATGGTCTTTTCATTCACCAGCCAAAATACTATACCAATTCTTTTCTCTTTATCCCAGGTGATACCCATCCCAGAGTTTTTTTTGAGCTTTCCAGTTGCACAGCCTTGTAACTGACTCTGTCTGGGTAGCTTCAAACATTAATCTTGTAAGAGGCATATTCTGATAATTTTTTTTATAGAAACTAAAGTTTCGTATAAATGAGTAAATAAGTTTGTTTGAAGCCTTGCAGGTCAAAAGCTCACAGAATACCAGTGTAGCTGTTTTCCAAATGACATCAACCACCATTCAAGACTTAAACACTTAAGAGTGCTCGTGTGTCTCCCCCTCCCCGACCATCCAGCCTTTTGCAAGTAGGAAACTGACTTGTATGTTCCATTCTTCTCTTCGCCCTCTGCTATTTGGATCATTTTTTTGTTAATGGTGTCATATCCTGAAGAAGAGAAGGGAATCTTTATAGGAAATAGATAGAGCTCACTAAGAATGCAGAAGGGACAAAAACATGGTAGAATGACCATCAAGGAGGGGGATTTGAGCCACAGGAAGTCCAAGGAGGGGGATTTGAGCCACAGGAAGTCCTTAAGCCCTTTGACTCTTTACTAACCTTCCGTTTTGTTTTTCCTTAGGGGAAGAGGTCCGGAATCCCCAAAAAGCTATTCCCATTGGAATAGTGACTTCCTTACTGGTTTGCTTCATGGCCTATTTTGGGGTTTCTGCAGCTTTAACGCTTATGATGCCTTACTACCTCCTAGATGAGAAAAGCCCACTTCCGGTAGCCTTTGAATATGTCGGATGGGGTCCTGCCAAGTATGTTGTTGCTGCAGGCTCCCTCTGCGCCTTGTCAACAAGGTACATGTACTGTCCTTGGGGCTCTCAGGGCTCTTGCAAAGTGATCTTCAGATTTGCTTTTGTGGGTTTCAAGAAGAGCTGTGTGGTAGAATACTTGGCGAGCATTCTGGAGGCCCTGGGTCAGCACCCTAGCCACTGCTACCACAAGACTGATTTTGTATATTCTAAAAATATCCTAACATGAGGAATGCATTATACAACTATGCACTCAGTGAATAATTTGCCCAGGATCGCTGTCTAGAAATCTTGAGGGATTACATAAAGCCTGAGTGACCGTCATCAGCTGAGTTCATTTTTTTTGTTGTTCTTCAGGATAATGCTGGTAGCACTGGGACACACACATCTGTGTCACACATAATCACATGCTATGCCAGACACCTTTGGGATGCTCATGTTCCTGGCATCTGTATTGCTTGCATTGTGTCAGTTGGAGATTATACACAGCCTTCACACTTGGGACAATTCTCCAAGAAGTAATAGTGTGTCTGGGACTGGAAGCCATATGTGGCGTCATTTTTTATAATGTAAATGTGCATCTGAGCCTTCTTTCCCCTTTAGTGCTGACCAGACTGGATTTATTCATGAGACAGAATCACCATTCTGAAATTACCAGCGGAAATTCTTTACTTATACGAAAAGAAAAGGGAATTTGATTGCCAAATGTCCGTCTTTTCAGTAGCTACTTATTTACTATGTTACAGCTCATGCCTCAAGTTTCCACAGCTGCTCATATCTGAGCAAAACATTTCATTCTAATCCATGCCACACTTCACAGGAGAATAGTCTCACATGGAGAATATCCTTTTTTTTTTTCCTGAGAATTCCTTTTTAAAATCGAAAACGATTTTCACAGTTCTGAAATGAGAAATTTTTCTCAATATAATTTATCAACATGACTTTTTTTTCTTTCAAATGTGTTTTTAGTTTCTAGTCCTGATAATACTAAGTGAGTTTAGGAGTTCTTCATCGTCTGCTGTTGACGTGGTTCATTATGAAGAACTTCGGATAGCTTAAAGTCCAAGCCCTGATGACATGGTGCCACCGTGATCTGCAAAGGGATGAAAGGACCCCTGTGGCTACATCAGCTATTGGTGCACAGCCTACTACTGTGGTTGGTCCTTACATGAATATAATTTGAATTTTTGGAAACTTTGGCTATGCTGTCAACTTTGAACAAAAGTTTCTCAGTTTACTGTGTTGAGTTGGCATTGTACAGAAACCGACAGCTGCATCAGTGTAGAAATGTGACTTATTTTTTTCCATTTCTGCAAGGATAACACACTGTATTAAATATACATATCATCTTACCTATGTGGGTTTGATGACAGAAACTAAGAAAGTATTCTCTAAATAGTGGGGGGAAAGATAAAGAAAATTAATAGATGTTTTTGGACACAAGATCTTGTTGTATAGCCACAATTGGCCTGGTACTCACTATGAAGTCCAAGCCAGCCTCAAATGTTCGGTAGTCTTTTGCCTCAACTTCTTAACTGATAGGGTTTCAGGCATGAGCCACCACGTCCAGCTCCCCCATTAACTTTTTATTTAATTAAATATTAATTTATTTATTAATAAACATTAATTAAAATTAATTATTTTACCTCTTTCTCTTAAGTGATTACCTTCACAACTGAATCATATGTGGAATGACCTAAGCAATAAATGTAAATAATTCAATTTGTCTTAAGAAAAATTGTACATTAAACCTCACTGTTACTAACATTTGATTGTAGCTCCTTCTATATACTAAATCAATAGTATGTTGTTCTTAAAGCCATTCTTTACCTTGATAATTTTAATGCTTGGAACTATTACATGTTATAGTTATAGGATGCAAAATCATGGTACTATGAAAATACACAATCACTATATAAACGGGTGACTTACTGTGACATAAAATTGATCAGTCTTCTTAATTACCCATTATTTTGGGAATTTTGTTTTCTGAATTGTGAATGCTAAAAAAAATCTTAGTATTTCCTACTTCATTTTATTTTGCAAGAGCTAATTCAGTAACAATCATGGCTATAACCAAATGACTTACAGTATTGTTCTTAGTCTTATCATTTTGCTGGGCAGATATTTGCAGAAGTTATAAGTAACACCATGGCCATTACTGACTGGCAGGTGTGTTTAAATGCCCAACCGCAGCACACTGTAAGACCACGTGAGTCCTCGACCACAGCTGTCTTGACGAGTGTTATCCAATCACGGTGTTTCTGTTCTGGGTGTGATCACGTGTGATCATGCATGACTGTGTTTGCCATACTGCATGTCTTTGCTTTTTACCCAGTCTTCTTGGATCCATTTTCCCAATGCCTCGTGTAATCTATGCTATGGCGGAGGATGGGTTGCTTTTCAAATGTCTAGCTCAAATCAATTCCAAAACGAAGACACCAATAATTGCTACTTTGTCATCGGGTGCAGTAGCAGGTGAGAGAGCGTTGACTTTTACTAAGAAAAGGGGGATCGTTTTTCGTCAATAACTCTGGAGAATGTAGACAGTTAGGTGGTTTTTCTATTTCGGATTAGCATAAAGTTCAATGACTTTGTGACTTTTCTACTTTGGTCTCTTTGTGTACCTATATGTACCGTTGTAGAATAATACTCAACTCACACTGGATTATGAATTTTTCTATTCTAGTCTTCTGGGTTCTATGTTCCCCTTACCCCGCATTCTGTTTGCCATGGCCCGGGATGGCTTACTGTTTAGATTTCTTGCGCGAGTGAGTAAGAGGCAGTCACCCATTGCTGCCACAATGACCGCGGGGGTCATCTCTGGTAAGCTTTACAAACACAGGTTTCTCCATCATTGGACTAAAATGTGCTGTGCGCATGCGTGGACTTAAAAAAGGGTCTGCATGCTGTGCATGTAAGTTAAGAACACAATCATGGATAAATTACTGTGTGAGTATTGGGATTAACATCTGACAATTATGGTGATGGTGAAACACTGAAATTCGTTCATGACTAATCACTGGGGAATTCTGTGTTTTTCCTACTTTAACCATTGAGGCATCTAATCCATGTGTGAGGAGCTAATGACTCTCTATTATGTATTAGATATCACTCTTCTAACTGATGAATAAGCACATAAAGTTATAATTTGGGCACAGAAAAATTTCTAGATTAAATCATTGCTTAATATTGGAAATATTGATTTTAAAATAATGATTGCAGGACTATTAGAAAGCTAAACTTTACCAAGTCTTAGTCCAGTGTAAGAAAAGAAATGCCAGCCGGGCGGTGGTGGCGCACTCCTGTAATCCCAGCACTTGGGAGGCAGAGACAGGCGGATCTCTGTGAGTTCGAGGCCAGCCTGGTCTACCAAGGGAGTTCCAGGACAGGCTCCAAAGCTACAGAGAAACCCTGTCTCGAAAAAAAAAAAAAAAGAAATGCCAAAGGTAATCCGAAGTTGGTTGTCCTCTCTCCCCAGAGTGAAGTGGGTTGCCCAGCAGGGTTAGGCCTGCACCCTCTCAGCCCCCATTAGGAACCTAGCTGTCGTTCAATAGTTTGGACATGTAGGTTTGGACTCCTAGAATCTAGATTGCCTACGTTTTGATATGCTATGATGTTTGTGTTAACTACCTCTGGCCAGATTCTTAGAGCATGCAGAAGGTTCCAGGGGTAGCATAGTCTTAGTAGCTCTTGGCTATTTGTAGTCATTACAAATGTGCTACATGTTTGATAATCTACTATATAATTATACCAGTAATGAAGTGTCTGCAGAGTGGGGCATGGGGTGCATATCCAGAGAGGAGATGAACGTCGGAGGGTTGTAAATACAGGACGGCTCTGCCCATAACTGCCCACTGTAACCGTCTTAAGTCAGCTTGTCTATGAAACAGGAATAATTCTATCAAGGAAGACCATGGGAAGTTGCTAGATTTGGTAAAAGTAAGTAAATAAATAAATGTCAAATATTGTCCATCTTATGTAACTAAAAAGGAACTAATTTCCTCTGCTCCTAGAACGACTGACTGAAGATAAAGTGAGTTCATAGACGATAAAACTTAAAAAGAGGTCTAGGACACCATATAATTTAAATGTGATGTTAGCTATTTACTAAGACAGGGAGTATTATGTAGTAAATTCAGCTAATATAAGGTATTTTTACTTTTTAACATTGTTGAGATTTTGTGTACAGGATCGTTAAGTTGATTTTTCATAGCTAATTAGTCTTCCAGAATGTGTGGTTTTAATTTGATTAAAGTTTACTCTACATCCAAAATATTATTTCACTGAAGAAAATAAGTATTATTTTGTAAAGACTATTTAAAATATGTTGAGTTGTATATAACTTGATACAAATGGAATTTAAAGTGGTTATATAACTTGTACACAGCAAACTGGTATTTCCTAGCAGTGCTTGTTTACCTTCCAAGACCTCAAAAGACAGTGTTCTGTCATATAATATGTTTTAAATAATCATAGCAGATGTATTTAATGTTTCCTAAAGAACTGGGGGCTTTGAGTCTTAGCGTTGGCAGTTTATATAGCCCAGAGACTCTCTTATGACGTTGTCAACAGAAGAGTATCAGTCAGCTGTCCCTGAGTGAGTGAGCAACTGGAAGAAATGTCCTCAGACACCTTTGGTTTTACCTTTCCCATCTGTTTCCCGATAGCTGTGATGGCATTCCTGTTTGACCTGAAGGCTCTTGTGGACATGATGTCCATCGGCACCCTCATGGCCTACTCTCTGGTCGCAGCCTGTGTGCTCATCCTCAGGTGAGTCTCTGTTGGTTCTGAAGGGCGCGTGGCAGATGGTAAACAGGGCATGGAGAGAGCAAGGACTGCAAAGAGCCAGCAGCAGTGTCCCCAAAGTGGGAGGCATTAAAGCAGTAAGATGGAGTATGGGAAGCAGACTTGACTTCTAGCAAAAAGTCAAGTACAGTTTGACCTTTACCGATAGCTTGTCCCAGTGTACAAGGCTGTTCATTACAATGTGTGGAGATACATAAACGTGTTGTATTTTTTTGAATCATAAATACTAGCAGACTGACAAATAGGCCCCTACTCTTGGCTACTACATGATATCGCCTTTGTTATATTGTCAGTATATCCCGAATGTTATTCCTAGTCAATAAGTGTATCTACCAAATATGTGCGTAGTTATAAGTACTTTTAGCGTTAATGATTTAGTGCTAAGGTTTTCACTAAAGACCTTATCAAGGAGTCACCAACAAATCGATGTGAATGATGCTCATGGAAAAGGTAGATTGAGAAGTGTGGAAAACATGGCTGAGAATAATGATGTAAGTGAAGGTACATTTACAGTGGCTTCTTCCGCAGTAAAAGCTGATATTTCGGTGTTTTGAAAACTATTCCAGTTTGAAGATACAAAGCCATAAAATTTGAATTCTTTAAAATAACATTATAAATTTACATTAAGAAACAATAAACATTTATGTCTGCATATATTCCAAGATGAGCTTGTACCAAAATGCTAATGGGGATTAACTTAATGGCGCTATTGGTCATTGTTGTGCCCTTCTGAATTCCTTTGTGCATTTTCCTTAGTGAACGTGTTTCTTTTCATGGTGGGGGGGTGTTTCTGAAATAGGCAAGGGCCACAGGTACTAGGAAGTGAAGCAAGCGATACACTGATGAACTGTAGAGGAATAGGGCAGATAGCAGGAAAATGGTGCCCATGGGGTAGTAAGGTGGCCGAGTAGCTAAGTAAGCATCTCTGGGTGAAGTGAGATGAATCAGGCTGGGAATAAGGAAACATGGGCAGAGAGACAGACCCTGGTGGCAGCTTGTGAGTCCCTAGCCAAAGAGATGCTGTCCTTCATAGCTGGTGACTGTTTCGGGGCTCTTTTTATACATCCCAATGCCACTGGGGAAGGGGGCTGCAGGTACCATCCTGTTGCCGTCATTTCTTCACCTTTCTTTCTTTCTTTTTTTTTTTATTTTTTATTTTTCGAGACAGGGTTTCTCCGTAGCTTTTGGTTCCTGTCCTGGAACTAGCTCTTGTAGACCAGGCTGGCCTCGAACTCACAGAGATCCGCCTGCCTCTGCCTCCCGAGTGCTGGGATTAAAGGCGTGCGCCACCACCGCCCGGCTCTTCACCTTTATTTCTAACTTTACTTTTTGGCATTTGCTATACAACTTTCTGGCTAAAGATCAATGAGAGGAAGTTCAGAGTGTCTGTGGGGGTTTGTAGCTCAGCACACAGTGAGTTGGAGTCAGTTATGAGGCTGGTCACCTGACTGTACCCACTGGGACTTTGTAAAGTGTCTCACTCACCAAAGAGTTTACGGTGACAGTTTCATTTGGTCTGATGAGAGTAAAGACACTGATATTTATTTGGGGATAGGTACCAACCTGGCTTGTGTTACGAGCAGCCCAAATACACCCCTGAGAAGGAAACTCTGGAATCATGTACCAATGCAACCTCGAAAAGCGAGTCCCAGGTCACCATGTTACAAGGACAAGGTTTCAGCCTCCGAGCCCTCTTCAACCCCTCTGCTCTGCCCACCCGACAGTCCGCTTCCCTCGTGAGCTTTCTGGTGGGATTCCTGGGTAAGTCTTCACTGAGCATGTTCGAAGATCCAACAGATTTGGGTGTGTAGAACCAGTCTTTGTGGAATGCAAAAGACAAGGCCTCACATTGCCCGGGATATGTTAGCAGCCAATTTGAGACATGAAATTTGACCTACGGAGGTGCTGGTAGTTATGGTCGAGTTATATCCTGTAGGAAGACTTATGAGCTGGAGAGCGGACTCCGTGGATAAAGTACAAACTGCACAAACGTGAGGCTCTGAGTTAAGATTTCCAAAACCCGTGCGAAGCTGGATGGGTAATTATGTGCTCGTATGGCTGGTGCTGCTGCGGCAAGGTGGGAATTAGAGAATCCCTCGGTAGCTTGCTGCACACTGTGACAAATAAGAGAGGCTGCCTCAGACACATTGGAAGGCGGCCACCAGCATCCAAGGCTATCTCTTGACTTCCACGTGAGTGCTTTGACACACATTTCCCATAATCACACATATGCATACAGATGCAAGGAGTTCCTACAGGAAGAGTTGCAGAATTAGAAACTGGCACACTCCATTAGCTCAGGGTGCTCCCTGTGTTAAAGAATCAGGCCAAGTAACAGAACTGGACCCCCAATGGTATTGGGAGGCAATATAGGAGTGTTTTGTTAGCTCTTCTGTTACCTAACCTCCTATAGGTTTAGTGACGTCTACTGGGCATTATCTGTGTTCTGAATACTTGGGGTGGTCAGACAGACTGCCCTTGCTCTTGAGGACTGTACAATAAGATCATCGCAAACTAGAGAAAAACAGGCTTCTCTGAGAGTGACTAGGAGGGACTTTTATTGCCTATGTGATGATCAGAAGAAGCCTGACATCATTGCCTGGAATGTGGAAGAAAGATTCAGATCGTGGGATATTATTTCTTTGTATTAACAAATAATCTTTATACTAGCTTAATATAGTCAAAGCTGCCATACTTCATTTGAAAAGAAATGGAAACCACACACCACCAAAAATGATCCTATTCATGTAGTCTAAGAGTAGGAAACTAGGAGTCCTCACCACATGTCAGACAAAGCAGGATGTTAGTGCCAAGAGGGGAGGCTGACTTCTGAAAAGACAGACATGAGGGCATGATTCTTACATGGGTGAAGTAGACTGTCTCTTTTTTACAAGAGAAAAGAAGTGAGGGGTCTGTGTGGCAAAATAGATTATAAAGAACTTGGTGTTGCACCAGGCTAGACCCCTAGGACTGAGCGATGTGAGACAAGGATGTGTGCTGACTCTGCTTGTGTACTGACACCACAGCCTTTCTCATCTTGGGCCTGAGTGTTCTGACCACGTACGGAGTCCAGGCCATTGCCAGACTGGAAGCCTGGAGCCTGGCTCTTCTCGCCTTGTTTCTTGTTCTCTGCACGGCCGTCATTCTGACTATTTGGAGGCAGCCACAGAATCAACAAAAAGTAGCCTTCATGGTAAGTGAAATAATCATCAGAAATCCTAGTTCTTGAATACACTTCCTCTGTATGTGTTCTGTGTTTATTGACTTTTTCTAAACAAAAGCCAACAAGGAACAAGACGGTTAAAATTCTTTAATGAATTCCTTTAGTCACAGTACATGAGTCGTCTACTGCTCTTCTCAAAACCTTGAGTAAGCATGCATGCGTGCATATATACATGCATGAATACATACAAACATGTGTGCATGCGTGCATACAAACATTCATACAGTGAACAAATTTTGTGTTGTATAGTCTATAGTATCAGAAAAATAATTGATGAGATTGTGGGTTTAATCCCTAGCACTAAAAAAATAAATGAGGATGAAAAGAAATGAAAGAAGGAAGATAATTTGAGGATTTATTTTCAGAAGTTTGAAGCCCTCTTGTGAGGATTCATCCCCACCAGTGCCTTCATGTGCTTGTTAAATTACCCTGCACCACTGGAACTAGGGGTAGGCGTGGGTATGAACAGAGCTACCTGTACCCAGAGATCCAGAAGCATCCCCTGTTGATGGATAAATGAGCACAGTGAACTCTGAGCCACACTGATGCTAAGCCCTGCGGTGGCTTAATGAAAATCGGCAGGTATCACTGTGTTTCTTTCCACTTCTGCAGGTGATGTGAATGGTGATTCTCCTTTCCCTAGTTTTATCTAGTTCCCTGGTATTAATTCAGGTCTTGAATAAATAATTCCTGAATTATTTTTTGAGACTATGAGCTCAGTGACACAGTAGGACTACATGTCAGATATCGACACTGCCTTGGAGTCACTTGGAGAATATGCTTCCACAGTAAACTCTGGACTCAAAGGATGTTTCTTCCCATAGGTCCCGTTCTTACCCTTTCTGCCGGCCTCCAGCATCCTGGTCAACATTTACTTGATGGTCCAGTTAAGTGCGGACACGTGGGTCAGATTTAGCATCTGGATGGTGCTTGGTAAGTCATGTTATCTGGAGCTTGGTTCGCCTTGTTGTGTCGGCTGTGGTTGCAGGAATGCGCTCACTCCTGAAGGCATAAGTCATAAACAATGCCACACCAGTTTGGAATTATGATTAATAGGGTGGTATTTATTTAAAGGGGAAAAAACTTACAGATCACTGTCAGCCCTCTGCGCAACCAGGAAGTGAGTCTAGTCGCCAGCGGAGCAGGAAGTGAAGAGAGAGAGGAGAGGGAAGTGGCTGCTTTTTTAAAGGGAAAGAGACCACGCCCCAATGGGCTGGTATCTCAGCGGTGATAGGCTGGAGGAGTGGGAGGATCTCCTGCAACACGCTCCCTTCCTCCAACTAAACATTCTGTTCATTTCTTTCATTATGACTTCCTCTCAATGATTACTTTCCCAGTGTTTCCAAATATAAACCTTTTCTTTATTTTTCTTCTCTTTCATTTCCTTTTCTGTTGTGCTGAGGACTCAACCCAGGCCTCAGACATGTTCTCCCAGCCTCTCTCACTCAGCCTCGTCTCCAGCCCTTCAGATGCTAGTTTTCATTTATCTCCCACTAACCCTGGAGTTCACATAGATTCTGTTTTCTACAACTTATGAATGAGAAAATGAAGTCCTCAAATATTTGTCATAACAGTGCCTGTGCCAAACCCTTACCCAGCTGTCTAAACTAGAACGTAGCATGAGAAAATACATATTTATAAGTAATTATCTTCTAAGGGCACTTAAAACATTGCCTTCTTTTCCCCCACAGTTGGCACGGTTAGCGACGGTTGTTTGGTGCTCAGGCCTTATGCCTCCCATTTGACAGTAACAGGTAGAAGGATGTCCATGTCCATTGTGAGCACAGGCATGCTTTTCAGGCTACCCAGCCATGACTCTGATAACCCACTGCTGGGGTTCAGTGTGCAATGTGAGCATCACCCATCATTCTGCTTAAAGTTATTCTGTTGAGATTTGAGAGCGTAAGTGGAAAATTTCCATATAACTGCTGTCTGAAAATACTTGTTGAGAGAAAACTATATTCTGTAGGGTTGGGGGATTATAAACTCAGAGGTGCTTTCTGTCTAGATAGGCAATCTATGCAACATCTTAATTCCACATTCTGTTTTTCATTTTAAAGATGGTTTACTTTTATTTAAATATGTTTTAAATTGAAATATAATTATATTACTTTCCCTCCACCATTCCCTCCCTCCAGCCCCACCAAAGTACCTCCTTTTAACCCCTCCTATGCCCCCCCCCACACATACTCTTAAGTTGATGATCTCTGGAATTACAGGCAACAACTGACAGCTGCTCACAGAAGGAGAATTGGCCTCTCCCGGGGATGAGTCCCCTTACTGGGCGTCCTATGCAGAGTGGCCAGCCCTGAAGCCATGTCCACATGCATAACAAAAGCAGACTCAGCAGGTTGCACTTTTATACTATATATGCACACATTCTGGTTTTCCCAGGTTGCACAGAAAGAGAGGAGGAGACTTATTGTATTGTTTTCCACATTAAAACATTTCCTAACACTCTGATATGCTTCCTCTCCCCGAAGGCTTTCTGATTTACTTCGCTTACGGCATTAGGCACAGCTTGGAGGGTCACCCCAGGGATGAGGAAGATGATGAAGATGTTTATTCAGACAACATCAGCGCAGCAACAGAAGAGAAATCCGCCATGCAGGCAAACGACCGTCACCAAAGGAGCCTCAGTTTACCTTTCATATTCCATGAAAAGACAAGCGAATGCTGATGCCGGCCCACACCACATCGCCTATAAGGAGTAAACTATGCGGGGCATCACCATCGTGCTGGGATGCCATGAGATTGCTACAGACATGGCTCACCTAACTTATACTTCCTCCTCCAGACAGCCTCTCTTCAGATGGTGAATTATTGTGTCTGGGGAAACTGCCTGAGCGCACTCCTCAGCAATGAGTATCCCCAAAGTAACGTGTCCGTGTGCGTCCATGTGTGTTTGGGAATGTGAATTTTAAATGTTCTTGGCTTTTGTTACTGTGACGTTCTTCCAGCGTCGTGATGGGTGGCATATACGGCACATGCTAATAGAGGGTGTATTGCGGGACAGAAGTGTGTTCTGATATGTCCTGGGAGGTTAGGTCTATGACTGTCAACTTGGGCGTACTGAGAATGCAGCCACCTGTCGTGATGTTTAGCAGTGATCAGGGTGAGCAGGAGATAAGGAATGAGCCTTTTCTATACATTACAGTGCCTTTAGAGTTATCACACGTTGTCTTCTTCTACTTGCTAGGACTTTACTAAACTTTACAGGGGGAGCGTGCCTTTATTCAGTATGACAGGATGGAGAGGCAAGTCTGTGACACCAGATGGTCAGTCCTGTTTTTGAGAGCCTTGGTCCTTAAATAGAATGCTTCTGCCTGCTCTAAGTGGCATGTTCCCCCAACCTCACCTCCATCAAGGACTCAGGAGAGCTACTAGGACCTGCTCGGGACCCTTTAAGCGAGAGAATGAATGTGGTCCCATCCCACGGCCAGAGGACCAGAGAGACTTAGAGAGGCTCAGACAGGCTTTCTGTTTTTAAAAGTGAGTGAGGGCAGTATAAGCCCCTGTGTCCCATGTTTGGTGGAATGGTTCAGGCTATTTTCTGTTACTTAATACCCAATCACAGCTCAGCTTCTGTTGCTACATCAATCGCTCTTTTGCTCTGATATTTTCTCTGACCTACATGGAAATAGACGTGATAGCAAATTCTATCTTTGCAATGTAAAGAAGAAGAAGAAGAAGAAGAAGAAGAAGAGGAAGAGGAAGAGGAAGAGGAAGAAGAAGAAGAAGAAGAAGAAGAAGAAGAAGAAGAAGAAGAAGAAGAAGAAGATGATGATGATAAAGGGATGCAGGAACATATTGCTAGTCCAATTTCACAGGGCATTTGAGCCCAATTTGTGGATTTTAGACCTAATAAACCTCTGCTGTTTCTTTTAGAAATGTTTAGAGATTCCTGCCCCCATCCCATCATTTACCACTTTTTGCTTCATTTGCTTTTAACTGGCCTCATTAAACCTATTAACACAGCTCTGATATTATGCAATAAATCATCAGTTACTTTCAGAACACAGTTTTTTAAAACTTTGAGTTAAATAACCAAATCGAATTAAAAGCACAGTGATCTTTGTATATGACTAAATAAATTTTATAAGTAAGATTCTCTGATTGCTACATTTTACTTTATAGGGTTCTCTGATAGTGGATTATGAATCTCCAATCATTCTTATTCCTTGTGAGTTAATTTTGTATAAATAATTAAATGGTGTATTAGATAAATCTAGAGGCCAGACAGGTAACACAGGGGCGGCACTCCCAGGCAACCATGCGTTACCAGGAATGCTAGTTGCCTTCTGTAATCCAAAGACAAGGAGATTAATTGCTCTTTCATAATCCTTCTAAGAGAACATTGATTTTACTGATGCCGTTTCCAAGCAGTTGTCGTCCTCCGTGTGGAAGTAGGCGTTAATTGTGGCTAACTTTCAGCTAAGCAGACACAGGTTCTGGGCTCCTGGTTGTTAACGATGCCTCCCTGACCCAGGGCTTAGCGCTGACATTCCAAAGTTTCCAGGGTGCACGTGAGAAAATCCAAAGCCCAGATACTCTTTCCAGCTGCTTGCTTTACCACAGAAGAAATGTAGAAGAAGCAAAGGCTAAAGTAGTATGAGAAGCACTGTAACATGGACAGGGATTCTTGTTACCATTAGTAGCTGCTGCCCAGGGAGGGAGAAGCAGGGTTGAGCCCGCTTGTCAGTTAAGTAGTCCCAAGCGGTCAGCATTACACACTTGTCCATCCAAGCAATACTAAGTGGACTCAGCAGGTTACATACATACACACACATGTATATATGTAACAATAATAAAGAAGAGGTCATGGATTTAATAGGGAGTAGGGAATTTTGGAGAGGGAAAGGGAGGATAGAAATTATCAGAACTATATACTCACATAAAAAATTCTCAAAAATTTTAAATTAAAAAAAATACTGCTTTTACAGCAGTGCCCTTCACACAGAAAACGTGAACAAGGTCATACATGAATCTCTGAGTTTCTTACTGTAATAAAAACAGATATGTCTGACCGTGGTAGGCAACTAGAAGTATTGTGCCCACTGAGGATGCTCACACCAAAACACGTTGGAAACACGGATGCCTGTGAAAGATGTTTTGCCAGAGACCATGCTCTTTCTGTGAAGACCCAAATGGATAAGCAAATGTGTATAGTGTTTATAAACACATTGACATATGTTTGTGTGCTGTATGTTTGTCTGTGTGTTTGTGGGGGGCTTTCGGTTATCAGCGTGTAAGTAAGTTGGGTTTATGATGAGCTTTGGATGTGATATTGTTACATAGATAAAAACCCAATTGATGTGGAGAGAGACTAGTGTTTTATATAGATAGATATTTTAGATTTTAAGCTATTATAAAATTTACAATTTTATATGTATGTTTTCAATAGATAGATTCTTTAAGACATATTTATCATGTTTCTAATATGAAATCACTAAGCTCTAGTATATTATGACGGGTGCTTTTGAATCTGAATGGAGTAGGGGTAGGAACCTTGGGATGTTCTTGTTTATTTGTTTCTGTGGCATTGTTTCTGACACACCTGTGCCTGTGCGTGCTTGCCAGCAAACACCAGTACTACCACCTCTTTGCCAACCCTCTGTCCCCCTGAACTTGAGTTCATAACACTGTGAGCAAAGCGTCCTTTTCTGTTTTGTAGGATCACCCAAATATTTTGTATAGATTTGACTAGTGAGCAAATGATACAGAAAGTCAAATGTGGACTCCTTCTATTCATCACGGTGAGCAACAGTTTGTAGTACTTTATCTTTTTCTTACCCTGAGAACTGTGTTGTTGGCATTTTCAGTGAGATGGTCTCCTCGCAGCACCTTAACTTCATACTCTTCACAAAAAAGAATGATCTGGGGATTAGCACATAAAGATCACACCAATCATTTACTTAAAAGGGTGCTTATGAAAACTCAGGTTTAGAAACTCCTGAGAAAAACTTAACTAGAATCTATGAGATATACTAAAATATCTCAATCTTGTTTCCTTAGTGAAACAAGTCAAGGAAACTAACCAAAATGTTATATATGTATGTATCAACATTAATATGTAAAATTAACATCGAAACTACTGTTGGTTTGTTAACTTGAGTTAAACGTAACTAATTTAAAAAGAACACCAGCATCTGAATAGTCTTCCTAAAGAAGAAAAGGTTAGATAATTTTAATCTTTATAAAGCTTTTCTTTTAACCAAATTTTTCCCACGTCCTGAATGTTTTCTAATAAAACACTGTGATTCAGAATTGTTGCTAGATAATTTTCTAAGTTTGTTTGACCGTCTAGTAGAGGTGAAGGAGAGTGATTGCCCTATGGTGCTAAGGAGACAGAAGGAATAACTGCACCTTACCTTCTCCCATCATATAGTGTAGCAGGGTGTGCGCACACACACATGCCTGTGTACATTCACGCACATATGGTGGCTATGTAAAGAGAGAAAATCAGAGTGTGTCCTCAAACCACCACCCAGATGATGACATTGCACTAAAATCCCAGCTCTTGCTTCTTTGCAGCACTACTTGGGATTTCTCCAGATACCCTTCAAGTGATAGTCCCTAAGATACAGTTTCCATGGCACTTTAGAAGATGATAGTCCCTAACATACAGTTTCCATAGCACTTTAGAAGACAATAGTCCCTAAGATACAGTTTCCATAGCACTTTAGAAGACAATAGTCCCTAAGATACAGTTTCCACAGCACTTTAGAAGATTGGTTTCGAGCGTTGTGAATGGGTGGTTCATATTCACATAGTGTGTAGGGGTTGGTGGCAGGGGTGCTGTTATCTGGTTTTTTGTTGTTGTTTTGTTTTGCTAGTTCCAAAACAGTGCCTTCTCTGTACATGTTTTACTTTATATATCAAGGAAAAGTACTGAAATTCATGTAGTAAACAATGCCAGCAAAGGTCATCTTAGCTCTAGATGTGAAGATAAGGTCGCTAGACTTCACTGTTTAGCTGAGGTGGTTTTTTTTTTCCTTATATACTTGTATTTAAAGAATTTAAAATAGCTTTGTGGGTTCTGAGAGGTCTGATACTACTGTTGTGGTACTGGTTTAGGTGTTGGCTTTTGTAGAATTCATAATTGTTTATATTTACACAGTTTTTCTCTTATTGGTTTCAGATGTATTCTGTTATAGCATAACCCTATTTTAACACTACTGGTCAGGAGTTCTCTACTTGTCTGTCCTTACCCAAGTCCTGAAGCTGCTGCTACAATCTCTGGACTCTAAGCAGCCTTTCTGACCCCTGACGGCACCATAGAGATTTCCAGCTAGGAGCCCCGTTTAAGGCCATGACCAGGCAGCCTGCTGTACAGGGGTGTCTGTGCTTACATTCTGGAGGTAGAGTAGGAAGTAAAGAACTTCTAATGAATTACGGTCATGTGGAATCCTTAACTTCAGTTCTAGGTATCTCATCAGTCTGTTTAGGGGAATAAGGACCAAGGAATATCTGTGACTCGTGGAGGGGTGTGGCTGTGTCTTGGAACTGGCATGGTAGGGCCTGGCCTGCTGGATTTCCTGCATGGTCAAGAGCCTGTTGGTAAGGAGCTTTGTACTGCCAGCAGGGTGGCCTACTGTACCCACACCTCGCTGATGAGCCCCACGTTTTTCATGTCCACTAGCAATGTCAAATTGTTTTATTGCTTTATTTTGTTATTGTTATATTTAATAGCAGTTGTGCATGAAGGCCTAAAACAATCCAGAACTTCTGTGTCTACAAAACCCGACAAGTACCATATTGTAAGTACTTGTGCAAATGTAAAAACGTTTTGTTCATGAAATAATTTTGATGTTTTTAATGGTAATTGGTGTTCCTTTTTGTATATAAAGTTGAACTCCTTTTTTTAGAATTTGTAATAAAAACTATTGCTGCTTCAGCTGTTATAATGTTATGCTTTATAATGTAACCATGTGTTTTTAAATAAACCTTAATATGACTTATAATAATTTAGTATGGATGTGTATCACACAACATAAAAGCACACATTTCAGACTCACTTAAAATTTGGAAGCTTATGTTTTGTCTTTGGTTTCTGAACTTAAGGACCTTTAAAGCTCAGAAACACAATACAATGTAATCTTCTTCATTATTATTTTATTATACTCGGAGAGCCGTCACTGTGACTACCAGGTCTTATAAGATAGGAAAGAAACATCCACAAAACTTTAGTCCTCATGATACATCATGAAAATAATCAGCTGTTTTTGAAGCATGCCACTCCAAGATCCCATGTCTGAGATTACCTCTTCAACTGATAGTCCATGGACCTGTCCCTTTGACATTGATCTTCAGGAAGCTCCTTATCATCCACCCCATCATAGCAAAATGCTTGATAAGGGAATGTAGAGCTAGCTGGGGGGCGGGGAGAACACTTCTGTGAAAGCAAGAGGAGCTGCATTCAAATTCCCAGCACCCATGTAAGTATTAGACATGGTCACATGTACCTGTAATGCCAGAGCTGGAGGCAGTATTCTGGGTGGAGGTAAGCAGATCCTGGGAAGTTACTAATCTAACCTAAATGGCAATCTTGGGGTTCAATGAAAGACTCCCTCAAAAATAAGGTGAGGAGAGAGAAATGATGTAACTTGGATCCTTGCCTTAGCCTATGTTACCTTTGATGACTGGCTTTGAGAATGTCAAAAATGTCTGTTTTCCAGGCCTGGTGGCACATCCCTCTATATCCAGGCCTTGGAAGGCAGAGGCAGGTGGATCTTTATGAGTTTGAGGCCTCTATATAGCAAGATCAAGGACAGCAAGGGCAATGTTGAGAGAAACCTCAAACAAAAAGCATCTGGCTTAAAAAAATAATTTTGTAATTTTTGAAAGCATCCATCTTGATTAGATGGGAGGCTGTTTAGAAAACTTTAATATCTTTATTTCTGGAACAGGATAGGGAGTCCCAAAATTTAGACCAAAAAAAATTGCTTGTTTGTTTGCCTAAGCAAATTCTTAATAGCATGTGCTACTTTGAAGGGATTTTTTTAAGTAAATAAGGCCAAAAAGAGCAGTGAGAGACTTAGTTATTGAAAACATTAAGATGTATAATTAAAATACTATGTAGCAAATAGCCCATAGATGAGAAAAGCATTATAAGGGCAGGATGGAAATTTCACTATGATCTTGGATAACCTAAGACTGCTGATAAGTCTGTATTCCTCCACTGGATACACAGTTTCTACCAATGTATCCATTGGATACACAGTTTCTACCAATGTATACATTGGATACACAGTTTCTAACAATATATCCATTGGATACACAGTTTCTAACAATGTATCCAATGGATACACAGTTTCTAACAATGTATCTATTGGATACACAGTTTCTAACAATATACCCACTGGATATACAGTTTCTAACAATGTATCTATTGGATACACAGTTTCTAACAATATACCCACTGGATACATAGTTTCTACCAATGTATCTATTGGATACAGTTTCTACCAATGTACCCTTTGGATACAGAGTTTCTACCAATGTACTCTGAGGGGTTTTTGGAGGAATAGGCCTTCTAGACTTAAATTTACACTTAGAGCTCCCTCCACACCCAGTTCTTCCCCGTACTGATCCTAGCATCTGCTTATTCCTTCCCCCCTCTCTTTCCTCTCTAGTTTTCCATGTGTTAAGCATATGCAAGAAACTGTTGTACGCCTGCTCTTCTGAGAAAGAAGAGCCATTCAGGCACTGGGGAAGAGCATGTCTCCTCAAGCCTGACAGTGGCTCACTGGACAGTTTCCACAAGACCCTTCTGTGTATCTCACCTTCTCCTGTGCACACGTAAGAAAGGAGCTGGATCCTGAGAGTTGTGAGGTGCGGTCCCCTGGATGTTCGTCTCATGGATTTGGGGTATCAGTAGGGAAGCAAGTGTGAGGTAGAGGGAGCAGGCAGGTAATAATCAATAAAGAAAAAGTGGCTGTCGTTGTTCATGCAATCACCTGCCTAAAGTCCAAGAATTTGAAAACTAGAAAAATAAATTCATTTATGTGAGCCAACGTAACATAAACAGATAAAACATCAATCAGCTCTTAGGGAACCAGGCTTCAAGCTGTGTTTGACTTTGAGCCACGGGAGAATATGTACCCTCATTGGCTAACATTACAGCACGTATTGAAAAGAATAAAGGAAAGGATCAACACAGAGAAGCTAATAATAAAATTCCCACTCAGTCTGGAGACAAAACACATGGGCTTTTGATGGTGAGATAAGATCCACGGAAAATACAACTGGGGTGGTTTTCCTTTCCATGTTTAAAACCATGTTGAGATCATCTCCTTCAAGGATAGTAAGCCTTGTGGTTAGGCAGCTATGTGCTTTTAAAAGCTTTTACTTTTTGTAACTCTGGTCCCATCCTAACACAGACCCCCGTACAGGTTTCCTAGCACTGCCATAGCAGAACACCACAGACCAGGTGGCTTACACAGCAGAAATCTATTTTCTCCTGGTTCAGGAGCGTGGATGTCCAAGTCCAAGGCGTCAGCATGCTTGGTTTCCTCTGAGGCCCATTTTTGACTCTCAGGTGCCCGTTCTCTCCCTCTGTCTTCACATGCTCATCCCCATACATCTGTGTTAGAACCCAAACTTATTCTTCTCATGTTCTTGCCAAAAGTACAGGATGGAGGCCAAACCCAATGTCTTCAGTTTCATTTCACTCCCTCTTTCAAGACTCCCTATTCAAACACAACCACATTCTGAGGTTTCAGTGGTTTTCAAAGCACAAATTTTGGGAAGGACCCAATCCAGCCCATATTCCAGACTAAGCTGAGTTTAAATATCTAAATTTAATTCAAGTGCATGTGAACTAGAACAGGCTTCAAAAAAATCGAGTTCCAATCATGGTAAACCATTTGAAAGTGTGATGAGAGAGATTGTATTGACAATAACAAAACAAACAAGCAGAAATAAGAAAGAAGCCTAACAACATGTCAGACTTACACAGGGAAAATCATATAACTATCCACCCAGATAAGAATTTATATGCCAGCTGGGCAGCGATGGCGCACGCCTTTAATCCCAGCACTCGGGAGGCAGAGGCAGGCGGATCTCTGTGAGTTTGAGGCCAGCCTGGTCTAAAAGAGCTAGTTCTAGGACAGGAACCAAAAACTACGGAGAAACCCTGTCTCGAAAAAAAAAAAAAGAATTTATATGCCTTTGTGCCCTTATACATTGTCTAAAACACACACTAACACACACAACATATTTAGCCAGTCCAAATTTAGTTAAGGTGTAAAATAACTCAGGAACTCAGAATTCCAAAATGATTTTTCAAATATCAGCCTTAACCAATCAGAAAATGTCATGGGGGTGTAAAAGAGGGCCCGAATAAGGGGAAAGATGCACAACAGTGTGATGTTCCTGGGTGGGAAGACTCGGTGTTATACATAGGCTCATTTTTATCCTGTTTAGTTTAGCGCATTCATAATTAAAATACAGTGGCATTTGTATGGAGACTGACAAGCTGATTCCAAATTTACCTGGAAGAGAAAATGGATGTAGGTAATCAGCAGAGGAACAATGTGGGAGGAACAAAATAAGTTATATATGAATTATAAAAGTAATGTGCGATCCCCATAATCACAGATGAATGGAATGAACCAGAAAAGAAACAGAACCATCTTCCTTCGTCATAAACATCTCTACGTGAATTGAAAAAGATCAGGAAAGTTCCAAGGGATCTAGTTATTACCATCTCGTTAGAAATACAGAAAATCAGATATCTAAACTGTCTCACAGAAAATTAATTGTGGGCAGCTTTAAAGATGAAACGTAAAATTATAAAGGTTTTAGATGAAAATCGTATAGCGAGATTTGATAATCTGGTGAGAAGCCATAAGGGAAGTTATTGAAAAGTGAAATTCCTCAAGTATTGCTTGAACTGCCTAAAAGGAATAAATAGTGGGGTTGTCAAAGTGCACACGAGCAGCGGAATAAAAGGAAGTGTCTGCGAAACCTCGGAAACTTTGAGTGAAACAAGAGGATGAGAAGGGAGTGCTCAAGCACAGGATGATGCCCACAACTGGGGCAGTCGCTCTTACACACCCATGAATAGTCTTGTGCAGAGCAAGGACGCTACTGCTTACAAGGTAAACAGCTCACAGGGACAAGAGCTGGCCCTTTTGATGGCGGGCCGACAACCCTGCCCCTTCACCGCTCTGATGGTTCCCCTGCGGCGAAATGTCCATCTCATCTCTGACCAGACCTAAAAGAGCAACCACAACAAACAATATTTTTGAGTGCAACAAGGGTCTAGTGTGTGTGTGTGTGTGTGTGTGTGTGTGTAGTGAGAGAACCACTGGGGACTAATAGAAACTTAGTGCACGCTCTTTGCTGAGAAGAGTTCTGTGTTTCCATCAGCGGGGGTCTGCTTAGGCCTTCCTGAACAGGGTAAAGTTAAGTCAAAACACCTCAACTCTGGAGAAAATCAAGGCCCTACATCCATGTAGTCTTCCCAGTGCTTGGAAATAGCGCTATCCTCCAGGACTCCGCCAGGGGGCAGGAGAGATCATATTATAAGGCGGATATTTTTTTCCTTTTTTTCTTTTTTTAAAAAATCTCCTTTTCTCCCAAGCTGTGCTCCCCCTGATGAAACTGAATCCTCCAGCTGTGGTGTCCCGGCGCCGCCTCCCACGGCGCCCCTGCTCTGCCCTGCCCTGAGCAGCCAGCCGCGCCGCCCATAGTCTCTGACTACTCTGTAGGTCACCAGCCCTGAAGATGAAGGTTTGGCTGCTGCTGGGACTTCTGTTGGTACACGAAGCGCTGCAAGATGGTGAGTGACTGGGCCCGGAAGCATCCGACCTCTGCCCGCTTCGCTCAGGACCCACAGTCCCCGAAATTCCCGTAGCAACTTTTCAAACTTTTGGCCTAAGGAATCGTCTCTGGCGTGGTCACCATTCAGTGCACCTGGCCCCTCCTAGTCCTCCTGGTCCAATTTCTTCCACCCCCA